AAGGTTTTCATAGGCAGGATGGACTGTAGTTTCGACCTACACAATAACAAAAAAGTAGTGTCATCAATTGCTATAGCAAATAAAAGTTTGCTTCATGGACAATCCCAGCACAGAATGTGATATGGAAAATGTCTGACCATGTTAAAATACACATGTACCCTGTGATACAAAGGCATTCGTAGCAATGTGGCGTAGTGGTTAACGTGTCGAGCTTACACGCTGCAACGTCATAGTTCGACTTCCGCTGGTGGTGTTTATAAGACTTATGCGAGGTCGAAAATATGGTCCCCCCTGAGTGAGAACACCTTTTTTGAAAGCTAGGCTATGGGATATTTAATCGAAATGTCAGCTCAATTCATATCATTGTGGGAAAAATAAACTACTGTTTCTTCATCACCTTAAACGAAATAGGTAAACACAACTCATACTTCTCTTATAATAGTTTGTACAATTCCAAGAGTGGCACCGTGGAATTAGTTCATTTCCAGCCGCTTCGCCGGCATCGTAGTCTGCATCATCAGTGAGTCTTGCCAGGGACCGTGAAGTCATTCCCTTGATCAACTTTCTATTCAATGTTTGTGCTATATATCCTCTTCCTGTCCTGGCGCATCTACTTACCCCAGGCTGTACCACTGTCTGGGTACCACCTAGCCCTGATTGAGCGAGAGCGAGATAAGACGGTAGGGGTTAGGTAAATGTATTGGGACAGAAAGAGGAGTGATAATGCAACGATCGACATAAATCGAAGGTATGAAGACCGAGATTGTGTGGCCTTTTTTATGGTCGTGGTCTCCTTTCGTTGGATAGTAGTTGGTTGACCTTGCTTTCGAACATTGGTCATATTAGCAGAAAGGCCTAGAGGAACGCGCCTCGTCCAGAGTCTACAGCTTGTTTAGTAATTTCCAGAGTCAGATCGTGGACTTGATACATGTCCAGACGCTTCGCCGGCATTGCATTTGGTATCGTCAGTAAGCCTTGCCACTGTTAATACCACACCATAACCCGTCAAATAAACAAGTGAAGTCTGCCCCTTTACCAATTGTCTGCCAAACATTTGGGATGCCTCACCCTCTGTCCTTGTGTATTTGCCTATCCTACATCCTCATAATATCCCTTCACTATCACACATTCTTACTTATCGATTTTCAGTCGATATCGTATCCTATCCGTGCAATGTTTTCAGCTATTTCGGATCTGTCCGTATCCATGTTACTGCAGAGCCCTTTGTGTTTCTTGACTCATAGGCTGATTTTTCTTCCTGTCTCAGCAAAACACTTCAGATCACAATTATCACATTGCATGGATGGGGAACGATATCGACTGAAAATCGACAAAAAAAAGACTAGCTGTATTTTGTGAAAATACAAGAAAAGGCAAGATTCAAGAAGCCTTCCATATCCTGACTTAAAGGAGACTTGAAGAAGGCAGTATTAGCGAAAACTTTGCATACTGCCTAAGCAAACTGGGAGAAGATCAGGCAACAGCAATATGGGTAAAAAGTAGACGACTGTACAAAGGTAATACTTTTAATTGTATGAAAAGAAATTGCAAGGAGACAAGACACGAACAATCGGAAACCAAAAGGAGACGCCTACAGTAAGCCTATTCAAATAAAGTAGAACTATCGCATTTGAGGGTCGGCACACAAGAGACCATGGCACAAGAAAGTCACAAACTTAGCATTCCGAACAGAAGAGCGAGAGATGCGGCGGAAACCATTGATAGTTGACTATTAGTTGTCGAGTTCTATCGAAGATATGGTTCGTGAAGTAAAGGATTGACCACGAGCTTTACTCAATGTACATTCGGCATCGTGATAAGGCAACCTGCAGAGTCAAGTTTAGGTTTCCATGTTATTTGAGAATCCAGATTTTAGGGCTCGCTCAGTGCTATCAAAGGCTCGAGGCAGACTGTAGAACATACCGCTTTGAGTAGCTCGGATACGATGGCAGCGATGGTGTGAAATCACTGAAACAGACAGGCAAATCAAGGATCTTACGGAGCAATGGGGAGACTGACAGGTACCGAAGGAAGAGGAGTGCGGATTAAACGGCAGCCTTGGATTTAGATAAAAAAGTAAGAAATTGTTATATTGAAGGAGTGATACGAGGATATAGGATAGGTGAATAGCCCAGGACAGAAGCAGAGATGCCACAACTTTCACCAGACATTTGGTCAAACGATCGACTTCACTTGTCTCTTTGACGAGTGATAGTGTGATGCTAAGGATGGCAAGGCTCACTGACGATGCCGGCGAAACGTCTGGGAACGCACCCAGTCTACGGTCTGACTCTGTAAATTGTCATTCATACTATGGACTCCGGACAAGGTGTGTTCCTTTAGGTCTTCCTGTTAATATGACTATGGTGTGAAAACAAGGTGAAACAATTACAATCGACAGAAAGTTGGTCAAGGGACTGACTTCATTTGTCTCTTCGACGAGTTTTTGCTTTGTAATAAGAGTCGCAAGACTCACTGACGATGCCGACTATGATGCCATCAAAGCATCTAGGAATGTACCGATTCCTCTGTCCAACGCTGAGAATTATGATAATTAGCACATCAAAGGACTACGGACAAGGTGTAACTAGGTCGCCCTGACAACAGGACCAAGTGGTACAAGCGAGGTCAGAACAGTTCTGTGCAGTGGTTAGTCCAAAAAATCACACAAACTTAGTCAACTGAAAGAAAGTTATGACAAGTTTACAGTGGAATTATAAATGGACAATTCATTACAATTTCGATATGTTTTGATAAGTAAAGGGGATTTTAAGAGTTGTCGAGACCTTTGTAGCAAACAAACTTATGTGGGCATTATTCTTGGCAGTTTCTCAAACCAAAGTTGGAACTACATAATCTATGATTATTAGAAGTGTTAAGCTGGAGGGTAGGAGCTAGTAGGACGAGGGGATAATTTAGCTTTGAAAGTTACCAAATACTATAAACTATCCATTAAGCCCGATTGCACATAATATCAAGACAATAGGTATAAAATTGAGAGAATTGAGAGGGAGAAAATTTAGTGGGAGAAAAAGGATCCAACACCATTACCTATATTATAGTTTTTGCTTCTTGCCCTCTTTCTAAAAGGATACGTGAATTATTAAGTATGTGGGAAAAACAGTTTTCACAGAGACTGTTACACATTCGGTTATGCCTACTTTTAGTGAATTCTATGAGTCTCTATTCAGATCTGACTGATCAAAAATAACTTTCTAATTCTGGAGAGACTGGTCACTGATTGGTCAGAGACTGGCAAAAATAAAAATACTTGTAGAGACTGTTAACTCGAGAAGTGAGAATTTTAAGAGAAAGTGGCAAAAAATTTGACATAAATTAGAGGTCTCCTAGCCTTAAGGTTGTGATTTATGGCATGTCTTTCGCAAAATGCAAAGCTATTGAAGTCAGTGAATTCAACAAACTAAGGGGCAATTTTAATGTTAAGATGGGGGCAAAAATAGAGCAATAACTACGTGTATTTGATTGAAAGACTTTAGAATGGGGTGGGCCTTCTTCTAAAAGATTGTAACTTAACTAATATACCTTCAACTTTGGTTATAATTGATGTAACACTTTTAAAATTTAATACTATAAATCTAATTACTTCAGCCGTAGGAGTATCTGGAATTGTGCTAGTCTAGTGATGGGTCTCATTCGGATAAGAAGGAAACCTCATTAGACCTAGATGATCTTGGGTTAGAAATTTCCGTTCAATTATGATTGATTACTAGCATCACTTTGACTTTGCCCTCCATCATAGGCATACATACAGGCACTTTCATTGATGTACATTTATAAAGCTAGCTATCATAAGGAGCTTAACCAGTATTTCTATGTCCGTAGGAATTTGTGCTTATTTATGAGGGAATATAGCAAGGAAAGACGAGCCGGTTAGCTTTATTGACGTGCAAGCTAAGGATGACTTTAGAAGCGCTATTTATCGGATGACGCCTCTTATATGAAAGTCAAAAATTAAGCTCACTTTCACCTTAAACAAAAGAGGTTAACTTAGGGATCATGCCAACTTGGACCGCCCAGTAAAACAAAACGATAGAGAACAAGGGGGGACCCGAAATAAAAGTTTATTCAACGCTGATATACGAAGAGATTCCTACATATGAACAGACAGTTGTCTGTCGAGACAAAATTACTCAGATAATGATATTAGTCGAAAGGGGTTCTACTTACTTTTAAATTCCTATTAATTGTTTAACGTATTATGGATAATGATGCAAATTATTTGCCCATGTCTCCCCGGGAGTGTGGATGAGACGATGAGACGAGGTGGAACCTGCGTTTAATTCTGGATGAGGTTGCTCTTTTCAGATTCAATTCGATGTGGAATTCAGATAAAAAAATCTAGAATAAAAGCTCATTCGCCATGGGTCGCTTAAGGTGATTTTGGGAATACTCAGTCCTTGGATCACCCTGAGCGATCCAGAGTAACTAAGTTCTTATTAAATGGCCATGAATATCAAGGCTTCTCTGCAAATCTTTGTGGGGTGGAATTGGCATCAGCTAAAAGAAATCAGTCTAAGCTGGTGAACTTGCTAGCTTCGAAACAAAATTATTAATAAGGCATAGGCTAAATTTACACTGCCCAATACAGATACAACACTGCCGACAATACTCATGTCTACCAGTAGAATTAGCAAAAGGACGAAAACAAGTCAAACTTCCATAATTGTCTTTCGCCCTTCTGAAGTTCTGCCTTATAGACTTAATAGAACATTGTTAGTGAGACCTTCCATTCGAATGAAAGTGCATGAAGAAGAGATTTTTTGGTCGATCTCACCAGATGAGGTCCATCATATGATGGACGAAAGCTCAGCACGTTTTCACCCGTAATGAGGGAGGAAGTCTCGCAGACTGCGTCAACATGAATATCGTATATAAGCCAAACGGCTGCAGTACAACGAGTTTTATCCATCCTCATCTGGTGAGACCGACCGACGAGTCTCTTCTTCATGCACTTTCATTCGAAATGAAGGTCCCCCTAACGATGTAATCTCAGAAGATTCTTCGAAACCAAGTTTCTCTTCGTATCTAAATAGAACACTTAATGTTTTTTTGCTTCATAAATAGATTTTACTCGTCGGACAGTAGATCGTATAAATGAGATCTATGCTAAGGTGATTAAGGACTAGTTGTTGAAATTTTCCATAATGGCATGAGTAAGCTTTACGTTTCCATTGAATTTCACATAGCCTTGCTTCAAAAAAGGTATTCGACCTCGCCATGACTCATTAACCGCCATGCCATACTGACATGAGTGCCTTTGGGTCAAAGGGCAGATGTAAATTTCATATTTATGGAAGTTGTTTGACCTTGTTTTCGCAACTTGGTCCTATTGGCAGGAAGACCTAGAGCAACGCACCTTGTTCGGAGTCCATAGTATGCATGATACTTTCCAGAGTCGGACCGTGGACTTGGCACATTCTCAGACGTTTCGCCGGCAACGTAGTCGGCATCGTCAGTGAGTTTTCATGCCAATATGACCAAGTTGCATAAACAAGGTGAAACAACTTATATCCAACGAAAGGAGGCCACGACCATAAAAAAGCCCACACTATTCTGGTCTTAATAGCTTCATATATATGACTTATGTTAGTCTCGAAATCCCATTTAAAAAACTGAAAATAAGTATTAAGTATTGTTTCGAGACTACCAGTAAATCAGTAATATGAGATGTATTCACCCAATTTCGTGTAAGGTGATGAAAGACTGGTGCGAAAATTCTTCTACCAGTCCTTCATCACCTTAAGCGAAATTGGATGAATACATCTCATATTAAAAATAAATAGTGTAGTCGACTGCTATAGCAAATAGAACTGCCTCATCGTCAATCCCACCACAGAATTTGATATGGGAAAATGCGTGGCCTTTCTCGAAATCCACATCTGCCCTGCGACCCAAGGGAACTCGTGACAATGCCGAGCGGTCGTTAGCGCGTCGAGATCATACACTGCGGTGTCATAGTTCCATTTCCCCTGGGGGTGCTGATGAGACCTAGGCAGGGTCGAAACTGCATTCTACGAAAGATTATAATACTTTTGGGGAGCAAGTCTATGCGAAATTTGAAGGAAGCGTAACACCTGCTCATTGTGGGAAAAGTCAACCCACTAATATGCCTAACTTTCAGGCAGTAGTCTTTATAAAGCCTGGATAACTTCGTTATAATCCATCGTGAGGGCTAATTCCAGGAGTGCCGGAAAATAGCTCTTTTTAGGGTGAAAGCCCGACTCACAAAAATAGGTTTTTCAGTGATTGGCCGTCAAGACCACCATGTAACTATGCGGAAGGGTCATATCCCTCCGAAGACAACAACAAAAGGCGCGTGAGCTACCTTTCGTACAGGTCGGGCTGGGCTTGCAGCAGCTCCACGGAAAATGGGCTGTCAGGACACACGGTGATTGCGGGGAACTGGAAAGGTTGTTGATTGTAGTTGACGACGGTGGATATCTGGGCATTCAAGAAACGTCCGATTATAATGGATACTCCGTAGAAGCTAAATAAGCACATGCTCAGCACAATCAGCACTACCATGATTCGTCTATAGCCAGATCTGGTCTCCAGAATGATGTCAATGCCATGGAAGGTGCTCCTCTCGGCAAGAATGCGCAGTTTCGCTTTAGCACGGATCAATTTCGCTCTGTAAACCTGTAGGCCTTCTTCTTCAGGGTCGCCTTTGTCTGCGTCTGGGTTTCTACCCAGCATGGTCAGATCAGACGTTTGCCGACTGGTATCCTGTCGCGAAAGCAGCAAATTCAGATTTAGCTACACTGTGTCTGTCGCACTGTTTGAATAAACTGCGGTGCGAGTATCGATCGATTCGTTTTACTTCTGCCAAAGATAGAATCGTGCACACCACATAAATTGGCCTTGTAGAACGCTTCTGTAAAATTAGCAATGTTTGATCATTTCCGTAGGTTTGCATCTTTCCTTCTGTCCATGCTAAGAGTTGGTCATATCAAGAAAATAACGAATGATTAGCGTGGATAATAATTCAGTTGATTTATTTGTTTGAGCGGAATAAATAAGCATATATATATATATATATATAAAGTAAAATAAGATTATAATAAACTGTAGGGAAGGTGAATTCGGGTAGAATGTTTGTATTACTTTGAGTATTTCTGTGAAAGTGTGAGGTGAAAAGAGTCTTTTGTAGATCGAACTTCCCATCTCGAGATAACTGGTCTCAATAGGATTGCGGCGGCAAGATCACACTAGTTCACTATATGAAGAGTTGTATTGATTTGACCTTAAGTTATAGGTAAAGTGTGTTGTGTAGAGATTCGTGGGTTGATCTAACAAAAAGGCGAAGACGGGTTCTGCTTGGCCTGTATTAATTTGAGTCTACTTGGGCGTTCAGGTGGGCCAACTCCTCACAATCTAGGGTGAAAACATGTCAAAAC